GTAACTGTTCTTACACCGGATGCCCTTCCTGATGCAACCTGGGCTTGAACCCGCAACCTCTGGATTACAAGACCACGGCACTGACCACCGAGCTACCGCAGCCCCCTTTTATAAGAATCTAAGTGCGTAGAATATATCTGGCCTGAGCCGCAGGATGTCGATTAGTGAATGAGCTGTTTGACCTGAGCTGCTGAACAGATCGCCTTCAAGCAGGCGGGGGGTTGATGGCAGAGAGCGAGGAGCGGAAAGCCTCCACCTGCGAGACGATAAGCTGAGACAACGTTCATTCTGTTTGTCTGACAGAAGGATGGAGATGGGAAGCAGTAATGAGATTATTAGAGAGTCGCTTGGTTTTTCCCAACTTACATTACCTTGTATAATCTGCCCTTCAGGTTCCCTTTATGACACCAGGCAGAGAAATAAAGTAATTACTGCCACTAAGATTTCTTTGAGCGCCGTATCACCCACCCATGTGCACTAAAAAATATTCATAACTCCAAATTCTTCAGTACATAAAAGTAAATTAAGTTAGAGGGATGTGATTTTTTTGAAATACATTAAGATTTTTTTGGAGGTGTGTTTGGTCTGAATGACCCCAGAGTCTGTAAAAAAAACATTAAAATGTGCCTCAGCCAGTTTTAATTTCTTTGTATTTTCCGTTATCGAGTTGAACTTTCCTGCACTCTTTTGAAGTGGTCTGGAAGATTTTCTTTCAAGCTTTCTGAAAGTCTTACAATTTTTTTTTACTTTTGCCATTTTTGTTTTTTTACTCAGTTTCTGTCCTTGTACAATACCACAACAGCATATGGAGTGTGTGTTTATAAAAGAAAACGTGAGGAAAATGAAAAAAATGGAGGAAAAAAGACGACGTTACACCTAAAAATGAAAGAAGCATGAAGCAGATGAACAGTAATCTGAAAGTCATATCTCTAAGAAACAGAAAATTTAACTAAAACCTGTGAGATGCATCCTCCTTCAGCTGATCATCGGCTGTTAGTCAGCTAATAGCTTTTTGGAAATAATCATGTTGGAGCTAAACTACTATTGTGTATGTCAAACTGAAGCACTTTTTATTAATTAATCCAAATAAATGGAAACAAATTGTTCTATGACAAGCTGCTTGTATAAAACGAAATAGCTAGATACATGACTTTCAAGGAGGACTTTCTGCTCTCGCTCAAGACGGACACCTACTCCTCTCCCTCCCCTGTTCTCCTCTTCCTCCTGCTATTTGCTCTTTGCGTGTCTCAGACCTCCTGGTACACATCTTCCAAATGAAAAATACCATTATGGATATGGTGAGCTGGACTTTCAATGCAATTTACAAAATCTTTTCAATAAAACGAGTCCTGGAGAGCCCTCTTGTCCTGCCGAAACTCACGCTGCGGGGTACATCAGGGATCCGTGGGGAGTTTGGCAGCTGATGTGTTTTTCAGTTCAGTCTCAGGAGGATGCCGAAGATGTTTATATAATTGCATTCATGATAGCAGGGTTTCTGCTTTTTGGCATCAGCAGGTCCCTACATTATCAACTTTTGAAGAGGACATCGGCAACAGTTTTGGCCATGGCAAAAGTTCAGAGTCTGTGTGAAGGTTTGGTTCGTGCTACGAGTACTCAAAATCAGCTGATTTACGAGCTAAACCATAAGATGGAAGTGATTCGTGAGAATCGCAGGTCACCTGTGGCTTCTAGGACTCGCCAGCATGTTGGGATTGACCTTGAGGAAGGCTCATAGCACGGATCAGTGGAATGAAAAGCCCATAAATCTGGCCATTTTAGATATGGAAAGTACCAGCAGGACTCAAGGCTGACAAGAAAGAAAAAAAAAACAGTCTGCCTGAAGAAAATCAACAATTGTGGCTTATCTGAATCTGTCTCCACCGTTTGGCCTCGGATATGGGCCTACTATCAAATTTCTCCTGGGACATGTGTAAACAAAGGAAACGGCTTCATCTATTGCATCCCCCCCACCCCCACCCGAGAACTTCTGTGCAGGCTTATCAGAACTGTCGGCTGAACATCATCATCAAGACTATGGCCTAACTGAAAATGTTTCATGGACAAATCTCAACATCTTGACGTCAAATGCATAAGTAATTGTGTTTATAAATGTGCTTGCTGGTAGTTTTTTGATGTCTCAAATCGTGTCCTGATAGGACAAGATGTGAAGAGATGTTTTTTTGTAATACCACTATCCATCCTCATGGCCTTTTACCTTTTTCTATTTCAAAAAGTATTCTGATAAAGAATAAGAGGCCGCGCTCTTGTAGCAGCAGCAACGTGCACTCCGCCCATCTTTCGGACGATTGTACGAACATAAACTCACTGTAAAGCTGTTTGTGTAGATTATCAGTCTTCTTGAACCCAGAAACCCAGCAAGTTTTGGAAAAATGTGACTTAATTATTGTCTTGCAATTTTACAGGTGCTGCACTATACATCTGGTAGCTTTCATAATTCTAAACAAAAAGAAATAGTTTAATTTTTTTTTTTTTATCCCACATTGTTGCTCTGGTCATACAAGCTGAACTCGCATGCAAACCACTCTCCCTTCTCTTCCTTTAGCAGTTTAAAAGCCTTGAATGCTGCACTTTTAAAATTCGATTAATAAAAGCATCTCAAATGTGTACATCTAAAAAATAAATAAATAAAAAGCTGTCTTTTTTTTCAGTTATTAACCTTATTTAAAATGGACTCTGCCAAAGATTCTGCTGTGTGTCCATTACACTAGTTCATAAGTTGGGTTTATGAGCCTTTGTTTTTACATCTGAATCATTCATACATCATGAATAAGGAGCTAAAATGATCAGGTACCAGACTGAAAGTGAAAGAAAAACAGTCAAAGTTGAAAAATAAACTGAAAAATTTAAAAACAATAATAATAAAACAGCTGATCCAAACCACACAAAGACTACAAGAAGGTCTGCTGAAGTGAAGTATTAAGAAATACAGGATGACTCGAAACTTTTGCACAGTACAGCACATCCTTCAAAAGGAATAAAATATCAGATTCTGTACATTTTTGTCACTTGTTTCACCCTCAGATAGATCAAAACTAGTCACCCTGGTACACACATTTTAACAATAAATGAATACAGATCAAACCAGTGATGTCAGTGTTGATTAGGGAGTGACATACTTGTGAGTAAATCTGGTTCAACAGGTTTTTCTTACTTTAGGAATCCATACTGAAACACTGAGCGTATTTTGAGTGCTCCTTTCTCTCTGCGGATCTGCTGATCATTTACACGACACCAGTGGCCCCCCTCTTTGAATCCGGAGGTTTCTGAACCCACCTTCCAGGGTGGAGGTTTTTCGCTGACCCCCTGCTGATAATGTAAACATCTCCCGCTGAGGCTTTGTGTTAAACCACATGCGCACACGCACGCGAGGACAGACGCTATATTTCTATCAACATGGCGGCGGACACACTGCTTTCAGAACCTCGACTGATGGAATATATTTTTAATCTCGTAGTTAATCTAGTTCAGATTCCAGGTTTCTGTGACCGACATCTGTGTTGGAAGAGACACGATCTGATCCAGTTCTAATGTCGCTGTTTATAGAACGAGGCACGCGCACACGTCCTGCTGCACTATAACATTTAAATGTGCTAAATAATAAGTTTAATAATAATAAACAGTATTTATCTTAAGTTTGAGATATATAATGAAGCTCTCTGAGCTAAATGAAGCTATCTGGACATTATGTGATTAAAATGATGATAAACATATAGCATGCTATTAACGTTGAAAATGAAGACATCAGGTTTAACTTTTATTTTATTTATTTATTCAACACCACAAACTGATAATTAAACTGAACTGGATTGAATAAAAGAACTGAGGGGAATTTTAAATAAATAGTTAATCCATCGTCTCTCTCTTCGACGTCCTGCTGCCGAGCCCCGTTCAGAACCGGTCCGCCTGGTGGGAGACAGCTCCTTCTTTCAGGAAAAAATAAAAATAAAAACTCAGTTGGTTGTTTTGTAACCGAAGTAAACACAAGCTAACATTATTAAGAACATGTGATTTACCTGCTGAAAAACAGGATTATCATGGAGTAAAGTCCAACAATGTCGACTCGGTTCTGGTCCACTGAGCGACTGGTGTGGAGCCGTTAGACGAAGCGGTCCCGCTTGGCGTCAAATCTGTCGACTCTTTTATCCAAAATCCAGCCAGAATCCAGCTTTAACTTGTTGTTAAGATGTTGTTAGCAGAGCTTTTTAGCTCACAGGACACAGCGTGCCGAGGCAGCACGCATGCGCATTAGGTGAAGGTACAAAATTCACAGCGCCATCTAATGACCCGGCATGGTAACTACAGCGGATTCGGGAGGGCGGGGGGGAATCTTGCGGATGCATGTAAACCCAAAATACGACCGTGTCAACGCGGATCGTTTCCTCTAATTAACATACGAAAAAACCTATGTTTCCCCCCCATCGTGTCCGTGTAAATAGGGCCCGAGAGGACAGGGGTTGATGCAATGGTTTTTCTCCCCCAACAGATGTGAAAATTTAGTTATTTGCCTGCCACGATTAGTCTCGTGACTCCTCTGTTAATGTGAAGGCATAAAATGGTTATTGATCCTTTTTCGCATGCTTTTACGGCAGAAAACTTTCCCAAAGCATAGAATCATTTCTTTGCACGGTGGTAAGAGTCGAAGTTGTGTAAAGCCTTGGTAATGACACTTAAGAGCAGCAGGAGAAAGAAACTTTGAAGGGGTGGGGTGGGTGGGTGCATTTGAGGCAAAGCCAGGGAAAATAGGTAGGAGAAAGACAGAAGGCTTCCACAGAGACATTTAGAAAGTGAAACGACACTGGGAGACAGAAGGGGAGGGGTGTGAGAAAGGACAGAAAAAGAGAACGAGAGAGGGAGAAAAACAAAGATTGACAGTGAATCAGACGGTCAGAGTGACAGAGGCAGAGTGACAAGCAGCAAGAGCAGATTGAGGAGCTAACAGATGACTGCTGGGGTGTAAAAAAAAAAAAAAAAGTACCTACCTTCTTTTTCAGCCCGGAATACAAAGGTCCGGAGCAAAGTGACAACCTCAAACTTGTTGTCTCCAAGTCCTCGCACCTGCCTGATGGCACTGGCTAGGATCAAACCTTTGGAGTACATCTCCTAAGCAAGACATCAAAAATCAACCGTCAGAAACACACAGGGAGATACATGCAGGCTAAAATTATCAAATCGCTGCTTATTCCTGTTATCTGCATCAGTAAACACACAATCACTGCCCCGCCCGTCCAACACGTTGTTTGCATCAAGAGATGTGTGCTTCTGACTTGTGCTATTGTCAGCTGGGACTGCATTCAATTTGACAGGCATCCTCATCACAACAACCGGATCCCATCAATGCGGCATCGGAGATCATAGCCACAAATATCCACCCCGCTTTGCTTTCGAACAGAAACTTTGATAAAATGGCACAGATCTTTTTGGTCAAGAAGGGTTTGAATCAAAACACAAAACAGGAAATCCACCCCTCTGTGCGTTAGAGGGAGAAAGCCAAGTCAAATCAGCGTCAGGGCGAACTTTCACCTCAAAACTGAAACTTCAAATGTGAAGGACTAGAAATGGAACAACAATGGGAAAACTGATGCAAAGGTGAATTAAAGAAACCCAAACAAGAAAAGAACACAAGGAGTTGGTATTTTAGTTGGAAAAGAGACACAATGAAACAAGTTTAAAGACTGAAGAACTAAAGAAGTTCAGAACAGCATGTGTTCTGGTAAACTGGGATTTGGTTGTGTGTTGGCAAAGGCTGACTTCAAGGTGTAGAGAATGAGCAGCTTGCATCAGAAAACCACATCATCTCTGTTTATCTCTCATGTTGGATGGAAAGCTTCTACTGTTGGTTTATTATAATTTCATGGGATTTTCTTTTAAATTTCTATCTAAAATCAAAATTGAAAACATACCAACAGGTTAAGTCTAAATAAATACCAGCAAGTGACAGTTGTTAGCTGTGTACTACATAGCTACTATCACATGACTGGTTCAGTAACTTCTCGGATGGGCTCAGCCTTGGTCAGCCATAGTCCTGGTGAAGCACTGACAGAAAAATTAAAGGGAAGTATATAGCGCAAAATTATCGACCTCATTTTCATTTACTGGCTTTATCGTTTCTTTGTGTCTCTTTCTTTCTACTGAAGACACGGCTCAACTCTGGTGCTCTTCACTGACGCCTTCCTTCGACCTCGGGGGGGGAACACACACACTCTGTATTGTCGAGCTCCAAAATTCACAGTTGAAACCCGTGCCTTAGTGTAAAAAGTTGTTTTTCTCTGCAAAAAGAAGCTAAAATCTTGTTTACTGATTTTTAATTAAAGCTTTGTGTGAAAATTGCTACGCTAAAGAGCTCAAATCACGGAGCGTCCGCCATGTCAGGTCAAGAACCCTCCCTCCCATTTTTCTTAAAGAGACACGTTGCTCAAATATCCATCCTTTGGTTCAAACAGTCTTATGCTCCCATCAGGTGGTCAAAAAAGGTACTAAACTCCAAACAATATTATTGTTTATTGCAATAATTTCTGAGACAATTAATTGCCCAGCAAAATTTGTTACTGCAACAGGCCTACGCAGTGAGTCTCAAAATATTAAGTTTTGGCTATTGGTGTAACTTTTTAGAAGATTAAATCACAAAACAAAATTTTAAAAGCACTAAGAAGAAGGGTTTAATTTGTAATTTGAAAAATAGTCCAATGATGACTTTGTTTATTAACCCTAATGGCAGTGTTTGTACTGTACTGGAACCAAAAATAGTCTCTGCCGCAGTCATCTTATGGGTTAGAACCATTGATTCTAGCATGATCTTGGGTTCCCGGAAAACCTCTCTCTCGTAACCTGAGCATTTTGCATCTTTGTCCTCAATCTGATGGTGAAATGCATTTTCAATGTGGGCCACTGCACTGCCTAATTCTAGTCCCGAACTAACTACCAAACAAATGTGCTTCTGTCTCTTGCGTCCCTATTTGTTTCCATTCTAAAGCATGAGATCTCAGCTTCCTGCCTTTAGGGCTTGATGAGGTTTAAGGACAAACTGTCTGCTGCGGTCTGGTGGAAAAGCACAACTATATGTCTGGTATGTATTGGTGTAACTATGTGTGTTAATGTTGTAGAACGGACTTCCTAATTTTGTCTGTGAGACTGTCTATGTTTAAGACTAAGCTTAAGACCTCTCTTTTTGGAAATCCTATAGTTGGGGTTGGCTTTGGTATCCTACACTATCCCTTGGTTAGACCACTGGAAGACAACATTCCTCAACTTTGCTGTCTTTGTTTTCTCTCCCCTCCATGTTTGCACACACAACTATTGCTGCATCAACATCCCCGTGTTTCTTTGTTGTTTTCTCGTAGAAACTCCACGGTGACAAATTGTAACCCTTTCCCATCTTCTTAACCCTCAGCATATTGAGGCACACAGCCACCCATCCTGATCCTGGTTCTGCTGTAGCTTTCGCTCTATTAAAAAGGAGTTGTTCCTTTCCATTGTTGTGATTGTACTGCTCAGGATAGGACATTGCAAAAAAGTGAAGGTTTGACAATTAGTTGGCTTACTTGGATAGATATCCTTTACAAATTTTATAAAGTACTGTCTTCCTATTCTTCTTTTAGCTGTTCCCTTTTCAGGGTTCGCCACATTTCATAAAGTACTGTATGTGAATGTATTGTATTGCAAAAGGCGTGAACTGACTGAAATAGGATTGTGGAATAAACGGTCATGATGACATTGCTGCACATGCCCTACCAGCCGGTACTAAACAGTCATGGCTGCAAAACCACAAAGATGTTATGTCACAACACTCCTGCTGTTTAAATAGTTTTAAACTCCACCTTTTCAGTTTTATGCATACTCTCAGTCAGCTGTGTTTGATTGCAAATGAAGGGGTAGGAACCCCTACCCCCACCTTGATATAATCCAAACTTCAAATGTTGGAGATCTGAAAAAGAGCTGTAGAGAAGAACAACCCCAGAAGAGAACTGCAGCCCATTAAAGAAGTGCAAACATAAAAAATAATAACCAAGGAGTTGTTATTTTAAGGGAAACAGACAATAAAACAAACTTCACAGATATATTATATATATATATATTATATATATTATTTTTTTTTTTTTAAAGGATATGCACACATTTCTGGGCGACAGAGCACTGTAGAGGATGTGCTCAGGTAATGTGGGATTTGTTGTATTGTTTTATTATGCCCCCCTAGGTTTTCCCCCACAAGTATGTCTTCTGGAAGCATCAAAATAAGGAGGAGGATGCACTGGAGGCTTCCTAGCCCTCTTTGCATTCTCCCTTGATAATGGCAATTAAAGTAGTGGGTCACAGTGAGCGTGAAACAGTCAGAAAAGGGAAAAAAATTAAATACAATCACGGTGTATAGAAGCGAGGACAGAATAGTACCGCTACCACATCAGTATTCAGAACCTTATGTAGCAAGGATACCAGAATCTCCCTTAAAGAAGGTGGAAAAATTCAAGAAGTAGTCAGATTGTAATGTTCTGGCGATAGAGTGAACTTGGGCACAGTACATTACACTTCTGTAGCAATGTGAAAATCACTTGGTTACTTTAAAAAAAAGGTCGTAGCACGTATTGCATTATTCATGTTGATAATGTCAGTGTCATTGCAAAATAGGAGGAAAAACAGACACGACTCGCTCATTTTCTGTCTCTCATCAGCAGTACTGACCTGAATTTTGATTCTCTGCAACCTAGTGAATGAATAAAAAAGGACTTCTGTTGAATGCCACGCACAATGCTGGATGTTTGCTCTACTGTCCTATACTGGAGTGTGCATTAAAACCAACGAGCGCAAAGTAAGCAAAGGGAGGATTACTAGGGGAGGAGAAAAGACGCTGAACTTCTGACTTCCTATCGCCATTCTTAATCAAACCAATGACCTTGCTGTTCCCAAAAAAAAAAAAGACTATTTCTAGAGAGCATATGGCCAAAAATATACCAGTAACGTAGGGAGAATGGGGGCAGTAGGCATGGAGGGATAGATACATGGATGGAAGGAGCTTGAAATGAAAAAAAAAAAAGAGGAAAAATTAGGTTTGTGTGAAAAGGCCAAGGAGAGAAGAGGAAAAAAATGGGAAAAGCATAGAGACAAAACAGACGGGAAAATCGAAAAGTGGTGAGGGAGGACAGAAAGAAAAAAAAAGAGGGAGGCGTATGGGAAAAAGAGACACCGTGTAGAAATGAAGACGCCTAAAAGGGTCAGGTAGGGGTTCTCCTCATATTAAAGCAGGATGTTAACAATGGGCGAGAAGTGGCTCAACCTAATTACCGACAGGCAGCCTCGTGCGCTCCTCTCCTCGGGAGTTTCACCCCCCCCACCGCCTTCTTACTCCCTCTAAATTTAGACAGAAGTTAATAGAAGGTGAGGCGAGGAGAAGTGGAGTGTGTGTGTATGCAGATGAATTATCTCTGCGGTTGTGCTCTGATAATTACTGTATACCCCCAGTATGGGTTAACAGTAATTAATTGTTTTAATTCTAGTTTTGGGGTCATGAAGGAGAGAGTTGTTTAACTGCGTGCTGTGTCGGCTGTAAATACTCCGGCGGCGAAGTCGACACATGAAACAAATATCTAAAATAAAAGAGGCGGTTGGAGTTAAAGAATTGGTGGACGGAGAATTTGGACGAGATGCTTATGGACTAATCTCCAGAGGGCAGGCTGCCAAGGAGGCAATGAGGCCTAACTGTCTGTCTGTCTCTTAACACACCTCCCTCCCCTGTTCGAACATCCATCCCTACATTTGCAAACCTCTCACGCTGTAGGTCTGTGTCGCGTTTTTTTTTTTTTTTACTTTAAACAAGTGGAAAAGCCTCTCCTGCAAGGATAACTTTGTCTCTTTTCTTCTCAAAAACAAACTAGTAAACTTCAGGAAACAATTAAAGCAAAGCAATGGAGCTAAAGCCTACAATAATAGAGGCACCGTGAGGAGAAAACTGGGAGGAGGGGGGAGGAAAAAAAAAAAAAAAGAAAAGGGAAGGGGAGGTGGGTTCTGCTGCCAGAATGGAGTTAAGACTGGCATTTATAAAAGAAACAGATTCAAGATGGAGGAATGAGGACACCAGCTGGTTGGAACAGAGAACTGAACATTAATAAACC